TGGTCGGCACACTTGTTAATACAATAACTTTCCTACTTATACTAAAAGTTCTACCTTAGACAAGAAATTTATTTTCCACTCATCAATGGAATGAATCAAGATTTGACGATGGGTACATTTTGCTTCAAGTTTAGGAAAACATCTAGAGGGTGCAATGTATAAAAAGTATATACGATGACATTCACCCATGTGAATCATATAAGATTTAACTTTGTCAAGATATGCTTTTCAAATTGAAAACATTACAAAGCATAGCTATGTGACTTTTATTTCAAACTCCTCTTTATCTACCCAATCTTCTATGAATCTAGATGTCTCTTAATTTTTAGATCATCACTAAAGAAATCATACTTTTACTATGATGGGAACCAATTACGACATTACATTACTTTCAGTTTTGGACTACATGTGGTTCTAAACACATTATGGGGTGGATGTGTGTCCTTTGGTGGACACATAAGCTTCCAATACATAATTCTTATTTCTTCATAACTTTACATATTCTAATAAATAATATTTAATCATAGTGATTAGTAATTATAAATATAACCTAAACTATCAAATTCGTGCCATTTAATCCAATACTTGTAGTGTTCATTTATTTACTGATAAAATTTTCATTTTGGTAAACTATAGTAATTATTCATTGCAACTAATCATTATGATTGTATGAAATAATATTAGATTTCTTCCCTTTAATACTGTATTTTTATGTGCCAGCTTTCTTATAAAAAAGTAATATTCATTATTTATGCATAAAATTTACATTTATCGGTCTAATAATTATTTTTGATAATTTGTAAGTGTGAATGTACTTAAACATATTATATTCCTGTACTCAATAGGTTACGTCCAAAGTGGTGCAATTTCCAAGGTGAATAGATAGTAGGTACAAAACATTTCTAAAGTTTAAATGTTGGCAATAAATGATACATATTCCTAGCAAGAGTAACTATGATATAAATATCTACTTATACTCACACCCTCTAAATGATTGTCTTGTATTATTATCATTGATTGATATAGTTTCTCTTTTTGGATAAATATTAATTACACACCTTTATCAATAGTTATGATTACATTTAAAAAGTATTATATTCATGCCCTTAATATGAGGCTTTTAAACTATCGTTTTCTTTATGAATAAATAAGAACAATAATAATAAATAATTTAGTCATGAGATTTATGTTTTCTCAATTGGCACTTTACAGATTTTATTTATATTCTTACATGTACATGGTCATGGTCTGTCATCAATCAAACATTTTATCCGTTTCTTTCTATGACACTCATCTTCTTCATTATTTACCTGCAATCTTCCATGTTTTTGGTGAACCTGTTGGAAACATGGTCAGCCTATTTAACAACAGATGATAGAGCCTTGAAAAAGAGATAAAACCATATGACATAAAATAAAAATATGCAAGGTAATTTTACTGATGTCATGTTTGCAACCACCTTCAAAATTGCATCAATCCGAATGGTGATACAGACAGGGACTTCTCAATTAAGACGAATTTGTTTATATACTTGGAAAAACAAACCCTACTCTAAAATCAATAGGTGCGAAAGGTGAAAACAAGAAGTGATTGGAATGCAGCAACATACCCAGCCCAAAGTCGATGAGAAAAAGCTTCTTCTCCCCTGAGCTTCCGGGTTTACCCAACAATAAATTCTCTGGCTTGACGTCTCCATGCACAAACCTGGCATGTTTTTTTTTTTGTGTGGGTGGAGGGAGGGAGGGGAGTGCACAAGGGAGCAATGAATTGATTACTGTGACCTTTGCAAAAATTTAATTGAAAAAATATCACACTGCCACAAAGCCATACGTACCCTTTTTGGTGTAGCTTCTCAAGGATGGATATTGCCTCCACAGCAATACAAGCCACCATATTTGGTGGCATTCTGTCCAAGGAGTTAGTCAAACTCAATAGCACAATTCTCAACAGAATATTGACTTTGAATATGAAGTCAAGATTATTTTCTTACACTTGCCCAATGGATATGAACACATCCAGGAGACTTGGTCCAAGGATGTCCATGATCTGCAGCAATCATCATCAACAATATCATAATTAGCTTTCAATAAAAAACATCATTCGAGGAAACAATAAAATGAAAGACTCTACGCCAACCATGATGAAATAATCTCCTTGGCGGCCCTTGTAGTGCACCCTAGGCAATCCATAGCATCCCTTGAGATGGCTAAAACCATATTCACAAAGTCAGATGAAGAACGTAGTTTTAGATCGACACAATACGTAATAAATTAGAGCAGTAGGGGGTGTCTTCTTACTCATAAACTTGCCATTCATATGGGGGGCCAAATCTGCAACCCGTGCTATTTCTATGCTCAAACTTCAGTGCTACCTACACCCACCGCAGGAAAATGAAAGAGACAACATAAAACAGCAGTATTTAAAGATTCCCTTGGCAGGAGTGATGGGAGGTTGAAACTAAACCTTAAAGGCATTGGGCCCATTGCCCTGAGATCCACCAGCCACCCTTCGTCCAATGTAGACCAGCCCAAAACCTCCTGCACCCAACATTCTCTCTACCTTGTATAATGGAGAATTTCCGACCTGCACCTGTCGATTTTGGATAGGACATTCCTATTGTCAAGATGTGATGTGCTTTGGGATGGAGAGAGAAAGCTCTCTACAGTCGCCGTCAAGGAAAGGAATGAGGGACGTCGAAGCATGTACCCGATCCGGGATGGGAGACATCCTCGCTTCCTCCTGTAGCCCGACAACCTCGTCCACACTTCCTCCCTCGATTCCAGCTGCTTTCTCAACAGGACAGCCCGCCACCAAGTTCTGATGGTTTTTCTGGGTGGGGAATAACGCTCGGGAGAGCTGCAGGTACGGAGGGTGTTGTTTCCTGCCGGAAATCACCGGGTTCTTCTCCAGAAACTGGTCGATCGCTCAGCGATCTGAAAATCGAATGTGCCCCTTGATTCAACACGCTCACCCGTCACCGTCAATCGATAAACCTTGCTGAAATAATCTTTTCTCCTCCAGACGGTAACACTCATCCGTCCCCAAAGAGCAATCGGATGGAAGTCTAAAGAAGAAGATAGATCCCCCTACCCAGACCAAACATCAAATCGAATCAGCAACGAAGCGGCAAAACAAATCGGAAGAAGGTAAATAAATAAGAGGAAGGAGGAAAGCCAGAGCTTTCTTCAGCAATCTCGCACCACCCGCACCACCGCAGGCAACCGAAAGTCCAAATCAAAGAAAATAAAGATCCCATCCAAAGAGTCCACAAGAAGATGCCCCCGACACAGAAAATCACGAACCCATCGAAAGACGGCACTAGAACATAACCCCCGAATCAACGAAAGGCGAGAATTCGTCGAAAGACGGCACTAGAACATACCCGGAGCGGCCTTTCAGGGAAGCAGAAGCCTGGGAACGTACGACCTCTCCGTGAGGCGGCGCCGACCGTGACCTCGGCGTCTTCGGCGGTGGACTCCTCCGCCGGATGCGGCCTCCCACTCTTCCTCCGGATTCGCGCACGAGAAAGGGTTCCAGAAGAACTCGACGGAGAGGAGAGGAGAAGGCGGCAGGCTGTCCGAACTCCGCCGTGCTTCGTAGAGCGAGGACGCATCCACAGAAAGAAAGCGAGAGCAAGATAGAGTGAGAGAGAGCAGACAGACAAAGGGAGCGAGAAAAGGCGCGAAAGAAAGAGAGATCAATGACAGCCTTACTCTATCACCCGCTCTTCTTTCACGTTCTGCCATTAGGTACGGATCTCCAATTACATTTCTCTTTGAGGTCTGACGTAAATTGTGCCAATTTCTGTTCACGATGTCCGTTGAAATGTCGTCGAACCCGTGTGGGCCACGTGTCCCACATCTGCTTAAGTGTCATGCCAACTCGTCGGTTCTGCTTCCACTGTCGACCTGTTGATGGTTTAACTTTTAGCCTCTGAATATTCCGGCCCATTGGGTCACTTGGCTCGGCCCAGCCCAACTCATTCTGATTTTCTTTTATTTTAGACATTTATATCAAAACCTCTTAGAAATTATGAGAAATTCTAGAAAATTTCAAAAAATCCAGGATAAAATTTAGAAAATCCTAAAACTCACATAAAAAATATTTCATGCATAATTATTTAAAATTAATTATCTTAAAATAATTTTTAAAATATTAAAATACATGTTTATGTATGAATGATCTGAATGCATACGAATTAAATGTAACATGTATTATTTCTGTTAATTTTATGCACTAAATATTGATAAATATAAGGTAAATACAGATAATGAAGACTTATCAACCACAACATAATAACTAGACTAAGATGATCTAGTTCAATCGTTTTCATCCACAATATACTATCATTAGCCGTTTATTATCACACCACATACCCATGAATACAACCTAAAACTCCATACTTCAAAGAATAATGATCATGGTAAAGAATTCACCTATCTTTTTTTCATGAGATCCATACCCCTAATCTAGAGAAGGTAAACTTTTCTAATTGACTTACCCTTTTAAAGGAGCATTAGGCTTTGTTCGTTTAAGCATACGTGTTTGTGCAAATAATCAATGCAGCAGAAGTTTTAAAATATTCACAACATTTTTGAATTTTTTTGTTCTCCCCTCTACTTGAATGATGCATTATTTCTAATGCATGCAAATGAAGGAAGAGATAACCTCCTCCCTACTTGAGTCTTGCATTGTTTTTAATGCATGTGAGAGAAGGGAAAAGAGAAGAAAATTCTGATTTTTATGCCCCATCTACTATACTATTGCCCCTGAATAGTTCTAGCTAAAGCACTCAACCAATAAAATATGTTTGAAACAAAAGCTAGTAGGGAAATGCATAAAATGAAATGATAGTTCTCCTCATGATAAAATATGTGCATACACACAAATAGATCAAGTCCTCAAATATCTACTAGAGACCAGCCAATCACCTCTCTCTATGTCCTAAGTACATCAAGTAATCTATTCTCTTGATCCTTAGTCAAGAGAAAACATGCCACCTAGTCAAGCCCACAAACAGGTTGGAAGCATAGATAGGCAGAATCGTGAGCAAGGGCTTGAGCAGCTAAAGACGGACTAATAGGGGACACATGTGCATCACTCCCCTTCCACATCATCAATGGCCAGTTGGGCATGCGATAAAAAGTGGTGGTACACTTGTGAGAAAGGGACACATTGATTATCAAATTTAGTATTACTATATATCAACTTTAGAACTCAGCATATAATCAATGTGGGACTAAACTTGGGGTCACAACCTCCGAAAAGTTTAATAATTTTAATATCCCTTGTTTAGTAAACCATAGAAATTTAAAATTTATAAAACTAGATGATGTCAAGATGATGTCAGCACCTAATGAATGCGAATCAAGCAGAAATAGAGTTCTACCTGGTGATTTTTACATAAATGATTATAGATGATTTAATTAGTCAAATTAAGATGCCAAGTTTCTAGTTTTATAAATTTAAAATTTGTGTGGTTTACTAAACAAGGGATATTTTAAGTATTAAATTATTAAAACTTTTCAGAGGCTATGACCCCAGGTTTAGTCCCACATTGGTTATATGCCGAGTTTTGAGGTTGATATATAGTAATACTAGACTTGATAATTGATAAGTCTTCATTATCATGAGTTAATAATTAATAAATAATATGGTTTTAGCCTAAACTCATGATAAATAGACTTATATTTGTGTTAAAGTGTGAAAATTTGTTTTTAGTTGATTAACGTAAATTTTTGGGTAATTATGTGATTTTATACAATTTTATATGATTTTTATAGTCTTACTTTTGAGATAAATGAAGAAAAATAAATTAAAATAAAAATAAGACAAAATGGGGGAACCCCTCAGGTCTGCAAGCAAGTCGGAAGCACAGTTGGGGAGTAGTCATGAGCAGGGGCTCAAGCGGCTTGGACCGATTGGGCACATGTGTGCCACCCCCCTTCCACATCATTGGTGGCTAGTTGACTGTGGGGCAAGGAGTGGTTGTACATGTGCGAGAAAAAGACTTGATCAAAAATGTAGTATTACTATATATTCACAAGAAATTTTGGCACACAATCGATGTAAAACTTTTTTAACCCCCATCACACCTCCCCAGAAAAGGCGGGGGGGCAATCGGCGCAAGTTCGAATCCTCCTAGAGCTAAAATTCATATTTTGTTTATCTATTTATCATGACTTTCTTGTAGACCACGGATGAAGGATTAAGTAACCAGAATCACTAAATCATCGGCGAAAATCTCGTCAATACATTTCACAGAGCATTGTTACTAAAATTACTGAACAATTCATGATAAAAAGATCGTGAATCTATCAAGTAACTCATCTTCGATTGATTGACAAACAAGTTATTGTCGGAAAGAGGACAATCCATTGGGAGACAAGTCGCCACCTCCTAAGAGCATACTAGATGCGATGAAGAGCCTCCTCTTGCTGTGTGGATCTGAGGATGAAGCTTCCTAACATGCACCCCACCTCCATCTAGCTCCTCTCTGTCGAGTGACAGTCGTTGGAGAGCCACAAAGTTGTCATTTTTCTACTCCGTCAGGTGACAGCCATCAGAGATAATTTGATAAGCCATTTCATTGATCTCTAGACTTCACAAGAAATCTAGAGATTGCCCACGTCGTCTTTGTCCAAAGAGAGCCTTCAAGGCCATGGACACTACACCATCACTGAGCGGAGATGTTGGAACTCTATTTTCCTGAATGCTCAAGATTCTGATGCATCATTGACACATCACCATCACGATGTTGGAACTCTATTTTCCTACTTTCAACTTAATTTTCCTTTCATTTAGTGATAATTTATTAATTTTAAATTTACAAAGATATACTTCATTTCATTATGATTCTTTCGGTTTTTCTAGATCTTAACTTGATCAATTAAATCATCTGTAATCACTTATATAAGAATCACTGAGCGGAGCTCTATTTTCGCTCAATTTGCATTTGTCAAGCGCTGGTATCATCTTGACATCTATACCCCTATTTCTTTTTTTCGTAATTTTAAATATATTTCCTTTTCATATACTAGTATAAAATTTATAGAAAATAGTATTCTTTGAGGGCAATTTTGAATAAGTACTAGATACTCTATTACATTCATTTGATCGACCTAGAAAATTATATTATTTTAAGAAGTTTTATTAAATTATACTTGATATATTTATTCAAAAATACTTCTAAATATCTGAAAATTCGTATTTTCTAGTTTTATAAATTTTAAATTTATGTGATTTACAGTAAGATGACTAAGTCACATCAAATTTTGGCACCATTGCTAAGAGCAATGGATGTATTGCATAATATTTAGTATTTCTCTATTTTTCTCTTAGAGTACACAAAAAATTCAACTCTTATTTTATTTTCTTTTTGCCATTTTTTTTTTTAAAGGGAACAAAGAGAAGCAAGGCAAGGACTGGAGCATACTAAAGGAGGGTAATAATTACTAAACTTTTATGTCTAATTTCTTGATTTTTTTATGCATGGTAGAAGATCCTTGCATCCAAGGCTAGAAAATCCTTTCATTATTTCATTCAAAACTAAAAATCAGAAAGAAAAATTAATTTTGATGGATCTTGAAGGAAGTAGAGGTCAAACTGAGAACAACCTTATGGCCGTGAAAAATTATTATATCTCTGATTCATTTCAAAGAGCATCCAATATTAAAGTCCCATTAGCACCCACTTTTAAATTCAAAATAAATCTAGGAATTTTTCAAATGCTCCCTAATTTTCATGGATTGCCTTTAGAGGAATCTCATTAGCACTTGGAAAAATTTCATATGGTCTGTGATTTAGTTAATCTCCCTCAAGTTACACCAAAAATTATTAAGATGAAATTATTTCTTCATATACTTAGAGACAAAGCTAGCCATTAGCTATTCACATTAGATAGAGAAAGACATAGAATAGGCTTTTCTTCGAAAATTTTATTCCTTAAGAAAAACTCAAAACTTGAGAAAACATATATGAAGTTTTCCTCAAAGATCAGAAGAAACTTTACATGAGACATGGGAAACATTCAAACATTTACTTAATAAGTGTCCTCATCATGCTATACCTAAGTGGCAACTCAATAGAACTTTTTATAATAGATTATTAGAACAACATAGAAATATGATTGATTCTATATGTGGAGGAACTTTTATGGAGAAAACTTCTGATGAGATTTATAGTCTTTATGAGAATTTAAGTGAAAATTTTAGAGATTAAGTTTCTTTTGAATCATATGATAGGGATAAGAAGAGAAGAATTTATGAATTGCATCATGATGATGATTCTAAATTTACAAATGAGGTTAATCAGATTAATGAAAGATTAGAAAAAATTGATTTACTTATTGACAATATTAGAAAGCCTCTTAACCCTCAATTTAATTCAAGTAGTACATGTCCTATGTATGGTAAAAATGATCATTTAAAATTTCAATATCATCATAGGCAAGAACAAGTGCAGGTATCCCACGATTTTAGTAAAAATAAGAAATATTTTTCTAATTCTTATAATCCTAATTGGAGGAATAATTTTTCGTGGAAAAACCCAAATAATATTCAAAATCTAAAAGCACTTAGATCTAATTCAAATTTTAAATTTCGTTCAAAACAAGAACATAGATTTCAGAAAAATCGGTCCTCTCAAATCCAACCTGATGCTATGGAAATGATGTAGCAAATGAGCCAAATGATGCAACAAACTATGAACCAAATGATGTTGCATCAGAAATAAATTATAGAGGCTCTTGGAATAAGAGAGAAGAGAGACAATTACCTAATCAGCCTATAGAAAATCTAGGGAACCGTCCAACAATAGGATTGCAGCAAGGGGAGTCTAGTAGCATGAATCTAAAAAAAACCCACAAAATGAAAATGTTATGACAGTAAATATATTGATCCTTATTTCTAATTATTAGAAGAAATTGATGATCCATTAGAAGTAAATGAGAATATTAAGATCGAAAATATAGTAGTAGAAAAATTGAATAAAATCATTTATTGCTCACAATTGATGAATAAATATAGTGAAGATGATGAGAAAAAAGAGACCTAGATGAAGAAAGAGTAATTTTGGAGGAGCAAATTTGAATTTAAGTAGAAGGGAGTAAGGTCGAAAATATAGTAGTAGAAAAATTGAATAAAATCATTTATTGCTCACAATTGATGAATAAATATAGTGAAGATGATGAGTAAAAAGAGACCTAGATGAAGAAAGAGCAAATTTTGGAGCAACTGATTATGGAAAAATCATCCAAATTTAAGTAGAAGGGACTAAGGACAGAAATGAAGAAAAATATATTTTAGGTAAGGAAAAATCAATTGATTTGGGAGATGTAGGAGATGAAATTAATAAATCTAATCATAATTTTACAACCATGGATGTTGATAGTGAAGATGATGATGTATATCATATACTAAAATTAAAAAATAACTCTTGGGAAGATGAAGAATTTGATGAGTTGAGAAACGAAAAGTTAGAAAAAGAGTTGATTCAACTAATGAGGAGAAACGAAAATAATGAATATGAATATAGAGATAATTTTGGAGGAGCAAATTTGAATTTTACTGAATTTATTAGATCTGAGATTAAAGAAGACAATCCTTCAATCCTTCAATCCTTCAAAACCCATAGCCTATTAGAATTATTTCTAAGCTTGAAATATTTCACTCCTCGCAAATTGAATAAATATGTATGAAAGATAAAATGGAGTAGGGGAAGATTATGCAGATAAAAGAACACATTAAGAAATTGATGAGTGGAAGAATTAGATATATCAATTTAGATGAAAAAAATTTAGATTGTGTAAGAGCTAATTTGAAAATTATATGGCCTAATCATATTTTATGATCTATTAATAGAAAGTATTTATTAATGAATGAGAGTCTTACAAAACAAGATAGAAATGAGGAAAGATTTTTTTTAAAATAAAAATATTATTTTTGATAATTTTTTGTTAATTTCTATTTTGTTTTGACTAAAAGTATGTCAAGGTATATATAAAGTATATGAATTTATGCTAAATCTGAAAAAGAATATCATGAAACTTACCTTGGGATACAAATATATTTTGATGGTCATAGATCATCTTATATGATCTAAGAGTTGTCCAGCTAAAGACATTAAATTCAGTGTTGCATGAGACGCAACCCATGGTTTTTATTTCATTTTGCTTGATTTTTTTTCTAAGCTCTATTTTTCTTAGAATTTTGTAGTATTTGTTTATGTATTTATTTTTTAAAAAAAGTGCAAGAGGAGTGTAAGATGAAGTGGAAAATTAAAAATGAGGTTGAGGTGATGTCTTTTTGAGCTTTATCATTTATGAAAATATTTTTAATGCTTAACTTTGTACATATGCATGCTTCACTTGAAAATTATATTTTCTACATATTCTATTTTGAACTTTCTGTGTCATTGAGGACAATGTCATTTTTAAGTTGGGGGATGAAGTATTCATTATTAATTTATGCTATAGGATGATTAAGAACATGTGTTTGTATTAGAATAGCAACTGAAAAAATACAAATAAAATAAAATTTGGTAAACTACAATATCTATTTTCTGGTTTTCTATCAGGGACAAGACCCTGTCAAAAATAGCAAACAAAAAACATCCCGAAATTTGAAATTCTAGAGACTTTTTTCTCACATTTCAATCCCCTAAACATATATTACTAAAATTCGAAATTACAACTATAAAGAGGATAGTTTTGATTTATTTTTGACAAATTTATTATTACTAAAACTAGAACTAAAAATAGAAAATAGAACTATTAGAACTATCTAATTTACAAATTTCTTACATCATATTACATACATGAAAAATTAAATCAATTAAATTGATTGATACCAAAAGATACTAAGAAGATTATTATTGAGTTAAAAGAATAATCTAGTAGCATGAAATGTTGGAATAATCTGATGTAGGATGGGGCAAGAACCCTTGTATCTTATCAATAAAACTTGAGACCCAAGATAGGGTAGTCGGATCAATCCGATAAGAATGTCTGGACCCTAGACTCTAGGTCTAACCACGTAACCTAAGTATAGGTAGGCGTACCAATATGTAATATCAACCCAGGACAACTCGGAGAAACACTCGACGATGGTAATTGAGGCCCTCTCGGTGCACGTCTGGACAGACGACAAAACAATCGTCGTGAGGTAGCTGATAAGTCTTCATTATCATGAGTTAATAATTAGTAAATAATATAGTTTTAGCCTTAACTCATGATAAATAGACTTATATTTGTGTTAAAGCATGAAAAGTGGTTTTCAGTTGATTAACGTGAATTTTTGGGTAATTATGTGATTTTATACGATTTTTACAGTCTTAGTTTTGAGATAAATGAAGAACAAGAAATAAAAATAAAAATATTGCAAAATGGGGGGACCTGCCGGCCAGCCGGGCCCGCAAGCGGGTCAGAAGCGCAGTCGGGGAGTAGCCGCGAGCAGGGGCTCGAGCAGCTTGCTTGGATCGATAGGGGCACGTGTGCGCCATTCCCCTTCCACGTCACCGGTGGTCAGCCGGCTGTGGGGCAAGGAGTGGTCGTACACGGGAGAGGATTTTGCCTAAAAAGCTAACTTTACTATATATTCGCCTGAATAATCCGCGCACAACCGATGTGGGACTAAACCCGCGTCACACCTTGTTCAAGGCCGGGCGACCGCCGCGGGTTCGAATCCTCCCAGAGTCAAAATTCATATATTTTTAACTGATTATCGCGACTTTCCTGCAGATCGCCGGTGAAGGATTAAGCAACCGGAATCGCTGGATCATCGGCGAAAATCTCGTCAACGCGATTCGCGGAGCATTGCTACTAAAATTGCTGAACGATTCGCGATAAAAGGATCGCAATCCATCGAGTAAATCATCTCCGATTGATCGACGAACAAGCCGTCGTCGGGAAGAGGACGATCCGCCGAGAGACGAGTCGCCACCTCCTGAGAGCGTACCAGATGCGATGAAGAGCCTCCTCTTGCTGCGCGGACCTGAGGATGAAGCTCCCTAACACGCGCCTCACCTCCATCCAGCCCCTCTCCGCCGGGTGACAGCCGCCGGAGAGCCGCAAAGTCGCCGTTTTTCCGCTCCGCCGGGTGACAGCCGCCGGAGACGATTCGACGACCCACTTCATTGGTCTCTAGACTTCGCGAGAAGATCTAGAGATTGCCCACGTCGTCTTTGTCCAAGGAGAGCCTTCGAGGCCGTGGACACTGCACGACGACCCTCCCGAACGCTCAGGATTCCGGTGCATCGCCGACGCATCGCCGTCGCGACGCCGGAACTCTGTTTTCCTGCTTTCAATTTAATTTACGCTTCATTTAGTGATACTTTGTTGATTTTTATTTACCAAACTATACTTCGTTCAACTACGATTCTTCCGGCTTTTACAGATCTTAATTTGATTAATTGAGTCGTCTGTAATCGCCTACGTAAGAATCGCCGGGCGGAACTCTGTTTCCGCCTGATTCGCGTTCGCCGGGCGCTGACGTCATCCTGACGTCCGCACCCTTATTTCCTTTTTTTTTCGTGAATTTTAAATATATTTCCTTTTTATTTCCTAGTATAAAATTCGTAAGAAAATCGTACTCATTGAGAAAAATTCTGAATAATTACCAGATATTATAGTGATCGACCTGGAAAATTACCACTATTTTTGGGATTTGTATTGAATTATAATTGATATATTTATTTTGAAATACTTCTAAATATCTGAAAATTCGTATTTTCTAGTTTTATAAATTTTAAATTTGCGTGATTTAATATACAACGACTAAGTCACGTCAGTAGCCTAGGGCTGCAGCTCACGATCGGTGACAAATGTAGCACAGTGTCAGAAGTCACAATCTAATAACCATCCTATCTTGTCTACGTTCTCCTGATAGCGGTGGAGATGAGCTGAGAAAACCCTTCGAGAGATAATTAAACTTAAGAGGAAGGGGTACAGAGCTAACCTTCGGGGCTGTGTAGCCTAGTGGATCGTGATGGAACAAAGATTCAACGAAGGTAGAGACATCTAGTGAAGAGCAATGCTCAGCATCGATGGTCGATCCTAGTCCAGAGTCACAGAAGTCATCGTCTTAGGGCGTGGCACAGTCGGCATGGGCGTGGACCTATAGGTGGGCCGAAGGGCACGCTAACGGGCATGGGCCAACTGGTGGGCCAAAGGGCATGTTAGTGGGTGTGGGCCTGCTGGTGGGCCGAAGGGCATGCTAGCAGGTGTGTGCGGCAAGCCGTGCAGCGTGCCCTAGGGCACGCGGGCAGTGGTGCGGGGTGGGCGTGTGGGTCGTAGGAACCAACGCGCGAGGCGCATGCGGCGGTGGCGCTTCAGCGGGAATGTCAAGTGTCAGCGGTGCTTTGGTGGGAGGCCGAGCGTCAGCGGCGCTTCAGCGGGAAGGCCAAGCATCAGCGACACTTCGTCAGGAAGGCTGAGCGTCAACCGTGCTTCGGCGAGAATGCCAAATGTTGGCGGTTGGGTGGCAAACCAACCATTGCCGAAAGGGTCGGCCTTCTCTGGTGGCACCGAGAAGTGGAGTAGAGGAAGGAGACAATCCAGGCAGCAATACCAAGGAGGGTTGAGCCCTCCTAGTCTAGACAGTGCCAAAAACAGTGCGATGACGGCGGATCGTCAGGAAACTCTGGCGGGGGCCTGCAGAGCTTGGACTGGATTTGGCTCGTCAACACAGCAGCAGGGTCTCTTCCGACGTCGGTGGCAGATCGGCGTTCGTCGGCGAATGGCCAGCGACTGGGTAGAGTGGCGGAGGGCGGCTCCGGCGAGTTTATAGTGGAGTTCCAGAGGAAGAGGCTGCAGTCGAACCAAGAGTCGAGAGACTTCGACGGAGTGCTCAGCGACGGCTCATAGTGAGGCAAAGCAAGCCCCTTTCGTCACGACAGTGTGACAGGGTTCCAGCAGAGGTGGCGGTGGCTGCAGCGGCAGCCACGACCATTTCGTCTGGTGATGGTGGCGAGCTCCCTGGTGGCAATGAGATGGCCGGCGGCAGCAGTGGTCTTAGGTGGTAGTGGGACTTCTCAGGCAGTAGCATCACAAGGAACGAAGTCCTCAAAGGGGTATCGATGGCCTTCCTCTTCCTCCTTTCCTCCCTATCCTAGATCACAGAGAAGGTACTCACAAAATGATAATCTCTCTCAAAAATATAGTGCTCTTTTGAGGGGGGGTCCTACCTCCCCTTATATGGGGGCCCACAAGTGGGCTAAGGGGAGGTGGGTCCACTTAAGACCCTCAAGCCCATAAGCCACAAAGGCTACAAAAGGGGCTTATTGGGCCTCTTAAAGAGAGATCCAATAAGCTCCCCTAAAAGGAGAAAGAGGGAGGCCCTCTTATGGTGCTTAAGTGGGCCTCAAATGAAGACCCAAATAAGCCCCAAAAGAGGCCCAAAAGGAAAGACACATAGGTTCCCCCCCTTAGGGTTTTAATTGGGCCTCAAAGAGAGACCCAATAAAATCCTAAAGAAAGGGAGAAAAACAACAACACACACACATAGAAATGGGCCCGCTAACACACAAATGTGAGGCCCAACAAGTCAACGTGAAAATACAAAGAAAGATACGGGTGAGCTTGAGCTCGTCATCGTCGCAGAGGTGGAATGTTGTCGTCCCAAAGGGCTAGGCTGCATAGCGAAAGCCAAGCTCCTTCATCTTTGTGCGTCGATCAGGCTGAACTCAGACTACCGATGTCTCCTAAGCTAATGGAGATGGGTCTTGCTTGCCATCATACTCCTTCGACACATAATATATAACATGGATTTGATTTTACAGATTTTTTACTTCATGATCTTGATGGATAGTACTTACTTAATGTGAAAATTTGATTGATCATTTGAGTTTAATGGAGATTTTTGTACCCCAATCTATAGGACCTGTGAGGAAAAATTACTTATTTCGAAAAAAAATAAAAAAGAAAGAGCAATGTGAAAAATCTAGAAACGAAGAGTACACATAGAGGGTGTGAGACATTATTCTCATTATTGAAAATCATGTATAGAAAAACACTTATTGTAAAATAAGTGGATAAAGTGAAAGCCCTGAAAATGAAGTGTACACATAGAGGGTGTGAGACATCATTCTTATTGTCAAAATTTTTCTACGAAAAAAGCTACTTATCCACTATATATATAAAAAAAAAGAGAAGGAAGAAATATAGTACAAACTTCAAAAATCAAGCCATGAAAAAAAGGAAATATAAGATCAATATATATTCTTGGATGAGTATTAATAATTAGAACATCTTGTAAATATATCTATGAGTGAAGAAGTGATAAAGATGTGAATAGAAGAAGTGAAGTCTAGATTGTTATTCGAAGAAATGCTTAAACATTTAAGTGCTTGACATCATTCTTAAATACTTGATATAAGAATCTAAAGTGTCTAAAGGTGCATCATTTCTGATTGTATTTTTTTTCTTTTTATGTATTGAAATATGATGTTTGAGATTTGTAAATTTTTATTTTCGTAATTCCATTGCTAAGGGACTAGCAATGATTTAAGTTGGGGGGTGTGGTAAGTCTTAATTATCATGAGTTAATAATTAGTAAATAATATAGTTTTAGCCTTAATTCATGATAAATAGACTTATATTTATGTTAAAGTGTGAAAAGTTGTTTTCAATTAATTAACGTGAATTTTTGGGTAATTATGTGGCTTTATACGATTTTACATGATTTTTATAGTTTTACTTTTGAGATAAATGAAGAAAAAGAAATTAAAATAAAAATAAGACAAAATGGGGGGACCCACTGGCCAATTGGGCCTACAAGTAGATCGGAAGTGCAATCGGGGAGTAGCTGTGAGTAGGGGCTCGAGTGGCTTGGACCAATTGGACACATGTGCGCCACCCCCCTTCCATGTCACTGGTGGCCAATCGACTGTGGGACAAGGAGTGGTCGTACACATGCGAGAAAGGGACTTGATCAGAAATGTAGTATTACTATATATTCACTAGAAATTTCAGCACACAATTGATGTGGGACTTTTTAACCCACGTCACACCTCCCCAGAAAGGGCGAGGATGCAACCGGTGCAGGTTCAAATCCTCCCAAAGCCAAAATTTATATTTTATTTATTTGATTATCGTGACTTTCCTACAGATCGTTGGTGAAGAATTAAGCAACTAGAATCACTGAATCATTGATGAAAATCTTGTCAACACGATTCGTGGAGCATTGTTACTAAAATTGCTAAACGATTCGCGATAAAAGCATCGCAAATCCATCGAGTAACTCATCTCTAATTGATCGACGAACAAGCTGTCATTGGGAAGAGGACAATCTGTTGGGAGACGAGTCACCACCTCTTGAGAGCATACTAGATGCAATGAAGAGCCTCTTCTTGCTGCACAGATCTGAGGTTGAAGCTTCTTGACACACACCTCACCTGCATCTAGCTCTTCTTTGTCGGGTGACAGCCACTAGAGAGCCGCAAAGTTGTCATTTTTCCGTTCTACTAGGGGTGACAGCCGCCAGAGAGGATTCAACAACCCATTCATTGATCTTTAGACTTTGCAAGGAGATCTAGAGATTGCTCACATTGTCTTTGTCCAAGGAGAGCCTTCAAGGCCATGGACATTGCACGACAATCCTCCCAAATGCTCAAGATTCTGGTGCATCGCCGACGCATCACCGCCTTGACGTCGGAATTTTATTTTCCTACTTTCAACTTAATTTTCGTTCCATTTAGTGATAATTTGTTGATTTTAAATTTACAAAGATATACTTCATTTCATTACGATTCTTCTGACTTTTGTAAGAATCACTAGGTGGAACTCTATTTTCACCCGATTTGCATTCGCCAAGTGCTAGCATCATCCTGATGTCTACACCCGTATTTCTTTTTTTTGTAAATTTTAAATATATTTCATTTTCATTTACTAGTATAAAATTCATAGAAAATAGTATTCTTTGAGGACAATTTTGGATAATTGCCAGATACTATATTACATCCCTCTGATTGACCTAGAAAATTACCATTATTTTTGAAATTTTTATTGAATTATAATTGATATATTTATTCAGAAATATTTCTAAATATCTGAAAATTCATATTTTCTAGTTTTATAAATTTTAAATTTGCATGATTTACAATACAACGACTAAGTCACATCAATAATCAATGTATCCC